CAATGATAACTCCATGTTGATAATAAGCCAGGAAGGGTTACACCGGGGGTGATATTGCTACACTCATAGATGGGGGAAAATCACTATAAATGAAAAGAAAAGGTTTCTAGCAATTTTACTGAGAGAGCCAAGACAAATGCTATGCAATTAGCTTAAGCAATTAAAATGAAAATATAAAGTTATACAAGGTCCACAAACCGTGAAGACGTGGAGTTCATCAATGCTGAGATTCATACCCTACTGACAATAAACACAACTTTCATTCAAATGATTATAGATTATTTAGGGACACTGAATGTATACTGAGTTTAGTTGAAAGAAAGGGAAGAAGGGGGAGAAAAAAGCAAGGGGATAGAGAGATGGCTCAGTAGCTGAGCCCTTACAGAGGACTCGTAGCACCCAGATGGCCTCCCACAACCACCTGCAAGTCCAAATCCAAAGGGTCAGAAGCCCTCTTCTGATCTTCAGGGAAACTAGGCAAACCTTCATACACATAAAATAATAAAATGGATACATGGAGCTTTTTTGAAGAAAGAAAAGCAAGGAAGTCTCATTCCCTGTCTAAAGCATATAACTGCAACTTGACATAGAAACAAATACTTGAAGACTTACTTTGTGTGTGGGGGGGTGAGAGGGCCAGAAGGTATTGGATCCCCTGGGAATCTGAGTTACAGGTGATTGTAAGGTATCTGATGTCGGGGCTGGGAGCCAAACTCGTAAGAACAGTAAGTGCCCCTAAAAACTGATCCATCCTCCTCATCCCAGGAGCAAATATTTAAATGCAAAGCTATTTCTCAAGGTTAAAGCATATACCTACATGTAAGTGTGTAAGAATGGAAATGAAAAACATAACTGCGAACCCAGAAACAGCAACAGAAGTCAGGAGGTGACATGTCAAAACTTAAAGGAATTATCTATTCCCCCAATAGGGTTTGTTACTCTTAAAGAGCTGGGCAAGGTAACAATAAAAAAACAAATAGCAAAATACTCAACCCGAGTTCAAAAACAAATGCAAAATAAACAGACAAAGGCATGAAAACAGACACAGAACTGAGACATAGTCCCAGAGCAGATTCTTTGGAGAAAAACAAACCAAACAAGTAATACAGATGAGTCTCCAGCAAAAGCAGGAGGAAGCGGGGAGAAAGTATAAATAGATACAATTAGGAACAAAGGGGAGGGTTTGGCAGCAGGTACAGAGCTGGGAGATACGAAGCAGATGAGTGGCCAGGGGCAGGTGCTGCACATCTGGAGGCTTCAACAGCTGCCTCTGTGGGTTCTGCCACATGGTTTTAAATCACAGCTGGGCATCACTGGACCACCAGGACACACTCTGTGAACTTCCTCAGGGTGTGAACATCATAGAGTGTGTTAACCGAAATCTAGGTTGGCAGAGTCCCCTGCAAACCTGAGCTCTGGGGTCTAGCCTATTATATACTTTGAGGAAACTTTGTACAGCTTGTTCCTGTCACTGAACACCCCAGAGGCTCCTGCTGCACTATAGCATTTGGCAAGAGGATTTTTCCAGATGTTTACTGACTTAGAGGACCACTGTCAACATCATACAACACATAACTGTATAACACAGCAGGATGGTTGGAGGAGCCCATCTCCTACAAGAGGGAGAAACTGAGTCTGAAAGAAGGGATGTGACTTATTCAACATCAGAGCATGTTAGGAGACTCTCTGAGGCCCCTGAGTTTGGAACTATAGCATCTACATAGAGTACCCAGAGTGTGGCACCACAGGCCTATAATCTCAGTGCCAGAAAGCAGGGACAGAAGGAACCTGGGGACTTCCCTGGATATTCTAGGTGAATCTCCAAGTTCAGTGTGCCTCCAAAAAGTATTAATTATTATTAATTCTACTATTTTCAGACGGGGAGGAAGGGTCTCATGTAGTCCAGGCAGGCCTTCAACTCATTTTATAGCTAAGGATGACCTTGAACTTCTGATCCCCCCCTGCTTCCACATCCCCAGAGCTGGGATTACAGAGAGTCACCAACATATTGAGCTTGTGTGGCATTGGGGAGGGAACCAATTCATCTTATTATCATATCTAGGCCACACGTCTTTTCATTGTCTTTCTGCTTGCATGAGTTAAACGCATAGCACTTGTTAAGTTTCTCCCCCAGAAAACTGTTTCAGTCAACAACTGCTTTAAGCAAACACTTGGTTTTTTGTTGTTGTCATTTAAAATTGTTTGATTGAGTAGAACAAGCAGGTGCAACCTAGGCTCAAGCTTGTAGTTCAGACTGGGCTGGATACGCACATAGCAAAACTAGAGGTGCAGGAAAAAAACAGCTTTGTTTCTGGAAAATGGACTTAAGCTCCTTGTGCAGTTTAATTGGCATAGGAAAGAAAGGAGTTGGGGAATTACAAGGAGGGTGGTGCCCTGGCAGGGTCCTACCTTTATAGAGGACTGTGCCATCACAGCAGCTGGGAGGGAAGAGGGGTGATACCCTGGGGTAGAGCTAACATCTCTTCATGAAGGAGTCTCAGAAATGAGGAGTCCCAGAAATGCTGAGGGGTGGGGGTGGGGGTGGGGGGAGGGCCGGTGGGGGGGAGGGCCTGATGTGGCTGTGGGCTGGAATGCCTTGGGCCTTATGAGTAAGAGACACACAGAGGATGACAGCAGGCCAGGACCTGAGGCACAAGCAGGAAGTCAGTGAGAAGCCTCAAAGCAAGGTAGGGCCAGCCCTGCTGCTGGGGTATGGGGGGTGCTGTTCAGAATGGTTACTCTGCAGGGGAGAAGACTGGGAGGCACCACCAGCAAAACCCTACTCTGTGGCCACCACAAGGTCACAAAAAGTCTGAGAAAGCCTGAGGACATTTTCACAAAAGAAGCCGCCATGTTTTTCCTGTACCTATGATTCTTGCACCTGCGTGTTGAGCCCGGTGCCTGGCATCCAGTCAGAGCCAGTTGGTGGTAACTATCTTTATTACAATTATCATTATCTTCTCTCCTGCCTCACTTCTGCCTACCAGGGATCACGGATTTTTGCTTTGACCACTGTTAACTTGACTTACAGAGGTAGGAAAGCCCTGTCTGAGTCCGTGAGGACAGGAACAGGGCAAGGGGAAATATCCAAAACTACGAAGGGGAAGAAAGGATGACTGAACTTTTCATGGCACACTAGTGTTTCCTCCTTAAGCATCTCCTTCCTCCTGTAATGTCACTAAGCTTAGTCACAGTGTGCAGGTGGTTCCCTGATCTGCAAAGAAAGATGTGAACATTTGGAAAAGTGAATTAAGACCATCTTTTGATTCAGGCTGGTAGATGATAGAGCCCAAGACTGAGCTTCCATCACGCTATTGTTTTCTGCATACATACATTTAATGTAACCAAGCTATTTCAGCAAACCTCTCTGGAAACACCAGTTTTCTAACTATCAGTCCACCAAATCTTCCCACAGAGTCAGCCATGCTCTTCAGTACAAGGATGGTGTTTTAACCACTTCTTGAATTGTGCATTTTTAATACCACCTCCCCTGAACTTCCTGTCCATGTCACCTCTCTCATTAGATGGTCCTTGATTTGTTATTTCTTGTAATTTTTTATTCAGGGTTTAATCTCTTCATAGACCTCCATGAGTTCACAAGTGGACATCTGTCTTCTACTCTGATGCTCCCAGAGGGACTAGGAAGCTCTATCCATTTGAAGAAGAGCTGTGATGGAGCAGGGACTAGGAAACTTAAGGTGGACGATGGGGGAATGTATGGGCTGGAGCATTCTCTTTCTTGTGAAATCAGTTTGGTTTTTATTCTCTTCCACTTGGAACTGAAAAAGTCCCAAGCAAGACAATTAATCTTAAAGAACTAAGAACAGGTCCAATCCCCACTTGCCACAATGCGACAGTTGGGAAGCCAGGTTGGGCCATTGATCCTGACTCTTATTCAGATGACTAGGAAGTGGTTGCCCATGGGGCTGACCTGCTTTCCTGTTGGAGATATTAGATGAGGGTGCTTTGTTCTGGCATTAGAAGGGAGCAAAACTAAAACTCCAGCAGAAACAAGCCACGTGGGTGACTATGGACAGACTCAGGAGGCACTGTCAATAACAACACACCTTCTTAAAGAGTCAAGATAGGCCAACAGATTGCTCCTATCTGTCAGGTAAACTTCTAAGACAGCTTTGATGTCCATGAGGCTGTGTACATTAGGGCACTGGTGACAAACTAGGGACGGGTAAGGACTGTGACCAAGAGAGAACCATGTCTTGGCACTCAGCTTTTTATAACTATAGTTTTATCATGTCAGATTGTGTGTGTGTGTGTGTGTGTGTGTGTGTGTTCCTCAAAGAGAAACACTGATGTTGAATGCCTTTTTCAAACACTCTCCATTTTACATTATGAAAGTTCTTTCATTGAACCTGAAGCTCACCAATTGTTTAGACTCATCAGCCAGTGAGTTCTAAGGGTTTCTTGTCTTTGGCTTCCTCCAATTTCTGCTTCCCTTGTCACACCAGTGCTGGGGTTACAGATACATGCCACTGCTATTGCATCCACTTTTACATGGCAGGTGGGGATCTGAATTCAAGTCCTTATGCTGATATAGCAAGCACTTTGCTGACTCAGCAAGCTGTCTCCTCATCTCTTTTAGTACTAGCAACTAATTATTTTTTAAGCAATGGGGATTAAATGTAGGGTCTTATTCACAGATTCTGGGTATATGCATCACCACCCAGCTGCATCCCAATCATCCTTTTACTTTATTTTGAAGCAAGTGCTCAAAGTTCCCCAGGCAGGCCTTCATCATGCAGTCCTCCCAGCCTCAGTCTATCAAGTAGCTAGGACGAAAGGCCCAGGCCACCAAGCCCAACTAACTCCCGTTTTGTAAACTGAGCCAAACAAGGCCATTGATGAGGCCAAGCCAAGCTAGCCATCATCACTTTGGGCTTTTGTTTTCATATTGCAGTTTTAAGAGAAAAGGGAAAATATATTTTATCCCATGTATGATGGATTGACTTGTATTACGGTTTCTAATGCAGAGTCCATCTTACCAGCCGTCCACACCAGCCTTCTGCAGTTCAGAAATCCCAAATGACAGAGACCCCATGAAATCATTCCTGCTCGTCAGGTCCCAATCCCAGATCTCTACGGACAGTCTTCTGTCTTTGTCTGATTCCTTCAGCTGACTGGAGGGAGAGAGAGAGTCAGTCAGTCAACCGAGGCCATAGTGATTCCTCAAGCAGATGAAATGTACAAGAGGATAAGAACCTGAGACAGAAATCCATAACTGTCACAACCTTCTGCAGGAGACACACTTGGTTTGTACTCCCCTGGGAATAGAGGCTCATTCTTTTTGACAGCCTGTTGCTCAAATATGTGGGGGGACCACAGCTAACTCCAACAAAAGCGGGTCTACCTGTGGCTATTGTCTCTGTCTTTATTCCCATGGACAGTCACTGGGAAAATTTCCAATACCCATGACATCACTGGGCATGCATGTGTGTGCATTTTCACACATGTGAGTTGGATATGAAGTAGAGAAACTGCATGAAGAAACCTCTTGCTGGAGTCTCAGTGGAAACTGTTCTGCAACATGACCCTGAGAGGCTCGCATAGTCCTTGCTTTATCCTGAGAAAGAGGCAAGGATATGAGGCTGCCCCAAGAATCATGATGCCAGCCTGAAGCTTCAGCATGACCTCTGGTGACAAATTATACAAAGCAGCATCCAACTCAACCTTCTGTGCACCAAGGAGCTTCTTTAGAAAGCCCCATGCCTAAAATAGTTAATGAATTAACCAGTAATTATTAGTGAGATCATTTAATTAGTGCTTGACTACACATTATACCTGAGAAGCAAATACCAGCTGTTATTATGAATGACCATTGGCCTAGACATATTGAAAGGGGACCTGCATATTCTTCTTGGCCAATGAAGCCCCTAAAGCAAAGTTGATATACTTCTCCCAGTAGGCTACAAACCCAGAGCCATGAGAACTCAACCCTAGAGATTTTGTCAGTATAATCTGGAGACTATGCCCTGCTCATTTACCTTCATCAAGCAGCACACATACTCAATCTCATCCAGCCTGCCTCCACACACCACAAACAACAGTCTCAACTGTATTAAAAAAATCTGATTTCCCCTTGACTCACAGTACTGAAATCCAGATAGAAGAGAAAGCGGGGCGAGGGTGGGGGGGAGCAAAGGGAAAAGGAAGAAAATAGAGGCTAAGGGAGGGATTGCCCAGTCCCTGATGACCTCTATCCTCTGTCACCCATGCTGAGCTGTCATGGTTTGCACTTACAATCTGAAGGTCTCGTTCCACTCAGGGTTGAGAGAGCACTTGATGGTTCTGGTCTTCTGCTTGCTCTCACTTTTGGGATCCGGAATCAGTTTCAGTTTGACGTAGGGATCTGACAAGCCATTGGGGTCCATAGGTACAAGATTTTTAGCATCTCTTACTGAAAAACAAAATGTGATTTCAATATTAGTAATGTCCAAAATGTTTAAGCAGCGTCCTGGGCATCACACCTGCTTGATGGGAATTTTATTAGTATCAACAGCTAGAGAGGCATGTAAACCAGGCAACCTGACTGGATATAGATTCGGCTCCATATTGTATAAAAATTATTCTTAAAAATCTTCCTTATTAGCATATATTAATTATGCAAAAATAATGTTTCCTTGCAATATTTTTATGCTTGTATATAACACATGTTATATAGTTTTATGTCAACTTGACACAAGCTAAAGTCATTTTGGAATAAGGAACCTCTAGAGAAAATGTCCTCACCAGATTAACCCATGGGCAATACTGTAGGGCATTTTCTTGATTGATGATTGATGGGGGAGGGCCCAGCTCACTTGTGGACAGTGCTACCCCTGAGCTGGTGGTCTGGATTCTGTAAGAAATCATGCTGCACAAGCCATGAGGAGCAAGCCAGTAGCACCCGTCCATGGCCTCTGCATCAGTTCCTGCCTCCAGGTTCCTGCCTGTTTAAGTCCCTGCCCTGACTTTATTAGATAACAGACCATGATGTGGAATTGTAAGGTAAAATAAACCCTTTCCATCCCAACTTGCTTATGGTCATAGTAATTTATTATAATAATAGAAAGAAACCCTAAGACAACATAATTTATGTTCAGCCTTCCTAAATATTGATTTCTGACTTCTATTGCTTTCTCCCTCTTTACTCCTAATACACACTGTAATTTTTCTAAAATTGCCTTCTCTAAGACCCACAAGAATCTGTCTCCTTTAGTTTTAGCATGACAGTTTCAAGGTGTCATGGTAGGACAAATATCAGTGTTCCTTTTTAAAGCTCAGTAATATTCCATTCCATAGCTCTGCCATATTCGTTTATACATTCATCATTTGTCCACATCTGGGTTGCATCTACTTTCTGGGCAGTAGGAATGGTACTGCTATGAACATGTATATATCCAGATACAACGGTCACATGCTGTGTGATGGTCAGTCTCCACTGAGACTCGGTTAACTGGCTGGAACTGACTGGGGACATTGGGAAAGTACATTTCTGGGTGTGTCTATTAGGGCACTTACAAAGATAATTGGACCACCAGGGCTCTGACTGAATGAATGGTCTAATCCACTGATGAACACCAAATAGAAATTAACTATCGGGAGGTGGTGGGATGGCGGAAGGTAGAGCCTGGTTGGAGAAATACATCACTGAGGGCACATCCTTGAGAACTAGATCTTGTCCCGACCATTTCCTGTAACTGCTCTGCTCTGCTTCTTGTCTCTCATGATTCCAGTTCCTCTGTCACACTCTCCCACCATGATGGACTGAGATCATGAGCAAAACAAACCCTTTCTCCCTCAAGCTGTTCTCTCAGTTATTGGCCACATCAATGAGGCAGGACTAACCTAATCCTGAGCAATCAGCCAACACAGACATACAGAGGGCTTGCTGTTGCCACATTCGAGGGAAGGAGACCAAAGAGGTGGCACTTCATGGGCACAGGGTTTTCTTTAGAGACGATCTACTCACTAGAACAGATAAATGACCGCAGTGTTGTAAATGTAAAGTACAGAGAACCGTATATTTTAAACGAGTGAATGGTTACTTTATATGCTGCCAATGTTACCTTCATCAAAAAAGAAAAAGCTAAAAAAGGAAGAAGAGTTACCCCCTAAATGGGGGTACATCTACTATCCACGGGTCATTCAGCAGCAGCACCCAGAGAGTTCACAGAGAGAAGCCTGGGGAAATATCAGCAGCAGGATAGGTAGGCTCCACCTAAGGTTAAGGCTCCTAGATGGAGGTATAGACTCAGCTTATGGAAGGAAAGGAAGTGAAGGATCCACGCCAAAGATGCAATGTGTCACAGAGATGAGGGAGAAGGAAGCATCTGCCTGGAGAACAGGAAACGCTGATCAAACATCAGTTCAAAAGGTAGACACATATGTAGCCAAGAAAAGGAGCTTGTGTGGAATATAAGGGTATAGTGTTAAACAACTTAAGGAGGTGTTGACCATTATAGGAGATAAAAATCCAAGGTAATATATTCGATCCAAAACCAAATGAAACCAGCTGCTTGAGTGTATGAGTCCTACTGGAAATGCAAAGATGATTCAACCTTTAAACAAATTTATTATTAATATATTCATCAGTTTATAAGTGAGAGAAGAAAACCACAAGGTCACTGTAGTTATCTAGAAATAGAATGAAAATCTCTCAATAGGGTCACAGCTAGCTGAAATAATAGCATCACAGTTGTGATAAAGGCAATCTCACCAAAGTCAGGAATGAGTCAACAATGCCAATTTCCACAGCTATGACTCCACACTTTTCTTGAATGCAGCACAGATGCAACAACACAACAAAAAGAGGAATCTCCAAGCTCAAGATGACAAAAATGGCAGATCAGAGAATGAACGATTGGAACATCTCCCACCCCTTCATTTCCTACAGCGTTCACTTCCAGCCAATCACAGTTCTTCTCCCATAGTGGTTCACAGACCCTCTTCGCAGGTCCCACTCTTACACCACTTACGTTATTTCCATACCATGAATTCTGTTACCCCTGGAAACCAGTGTTCTCTCACCAATCAATCCATCAGCTTAGACACACTCTCTGTACCCCTATCCCCTCCTGCTTTTGCTCCATTTATGTGGCATAGACCTCAGGGTGAAGTATAATGGTTCTCTTGAAAACATTCTCAATTTCCCCATCAATTTCTTTCTAGTTCACTTATCTAACAAAACACAAGTTAAATTCAAATATCTTTATTTTCTTACATCCAATCAGCTGACCACTGCTGAGAAGAGAGAAGAAAGGGAAGGGACAGAGGGAGGGAGGAAAGGGGGAGATGGAGTGAGGATGTATGGACATTCAAGCAGAAGGAGAAGAGAAGAGGGAGCAAGGGAAGGAGAGTGGGAGGGAAGCAGGACAGGAAGGAGGGGAATTTGCCTAAGGTCATACAGTCAGTAGGGTCCAGGACTTAATGAACAAGATTACAGGAGATGTGGATGGGTTTTCTTCTGCTAAGATATGGGTTGACACTCTTGGACATATACCCAAAGGATGACCAATCATACCACATGGACACTTGTTCAACTATGTTCATAGCATCTTTATTTGTAATATCCAGAACATGGAAAAAAATCTAGATGTTTCTCAACAGAAGAACTGATAAGGAAAATGTGGTGCATTTACTCAGCTGTTAAAAACAATGGCATCATGACATTTGAAGGCAAATGGATGGAACTAGAAAAAAAATCATCCTGAGTGAGGTAACCCAAATCCAGAAAGACAAACATGGTATGTGCTCACTTATAAGTGGATATTTGCTGTGAAGTAAAGGATAACCATGCTACAATCCACAGACCCAGAGATGATAAGCAAGGAGGGTTTATGGGAGGAATGCATGGATCTTCCTGGGAAGGGAAAATAGAAGAGATCTTGTGGGTGGACTGGGGGTAAGGGGTAGGGATGGGAACTGAGGGACTGGGTGTGGGGGTTAGATAGATCTCTACTGAAAGAGATGAGTGGAAAGGAGCCAGCATTTCAGGGTCAGGTAGAAACCTGGTGCAAGGAAATCTCCCAGGAATCTACAAGGATGACCCCAGCTAAGACTCCAAGCGACAGTGGATACATAGCCTGAACTGGCCATCCCCTGTGACCAGACTGGTGACTACCCCAATTGCTATCAGAGAACTTTCATGCAGCAACTGATGGGAACAAATGCAGAGACCCACAGCCAAACATTAGGCCAAGTTCAGGGAATCCTGCTGAAGAGAGGGAGGAAGGATTATAGGAGCCAGAGATGTCAAAGACATCACAAGAAACCCCACAGAATCAACTAACCTGGCTCACAGGGGATCACAGAGACTGAACAGACAACCAGGGAGCCTGCATGGGTCAACCTAGGCCCTCAACATATATGTTACTGTTGTGTAGCTTGGTCTACTTGTGGGACTCCTAACAGTGGGAACAGGGACTGTCCCTAATGCTTTGGCTGGCTTTGGGGAAGCTATTCCTCATACTGGGTTGCCTTGTCCAGCCTTAATACAAGGAGCATTGCTTAGTCCTACTGCAAGTTGACATGCCATGTTCTGTTGACACCCATAGAGGCCTGCCTCCTTCTAAAGAGAAGTAGAGGAGGAATGAATGGGGGTGGCAGAGGGTGGGGTGAGGGAATGGGAAGAGAGCTGGGAGGAGAAACTGCAGTCTGGATATAAAGTAAGTAAATAAATTTAATTTAAAAAAGACTGATTGAATTCATCCTCCATCTCAGCCACAAGTTAGATCTTATTTTGTACCAAAAGCAATAAATGTCCTTCTCTGGCCTTGATTCCATTAAGCTCAATGAGCAGGTTCCCACCCTGCCCTAAGTGTTCTGTTATGTTCCAAGGAGTCTGAAGAAAGCATAAGATGCTGATCCTGTCCACAAGGAACACATGAAACCAAATCTGTTAACAGTGTAATTGACCTCTGATGAGACAGGAGACAGGCCACATAGCGTTGTGGTTAGAGCCGGCATCTCACCTAGCTTTCTCTAAACTTTCAACCTTGCTTTCTTGATCAATAAAACATGTTGCTGTAACTGTAAAATCGGGCAAAGACTATTTGGTGAAGAACCTAGAAAGTACTCAATAAAAGTTAGCTGTGTCACTGCTGCCCCATTGTTTTTAGTCAGGGGCCTCTGACCTCACTTGTCCAGTATTTATTTATTTATTTTTGCAGTACTGAGGGTTGAAGGCAAGGCCTCACACGTGCTAGGTTTCTGTTGACTTTTTTATTTTGAGGCAGGGGTTCACTGTGTTTCCCAGGCTGGCCTTGAACTTGTGACCCTCTTGCTTCTGGCTTCTGAATAGCTGGGATGACACCCTGTGCCACCAGGCTCACTGTTTCTTTGTGGGAACAGTGTAATGGACCTTCCCATTTGAAACCCAACCAAGAAGACTCTGCAAACCTTAGCCCAGCAGAACTC